GAATTTAAGATATAAAATGTAGAAAAAAAAGCTCAATATTTATGGACATTTAGTTCATGAAAACAGCACTCAAATCAAACATAATGTATGGTTCTGTCACACTGGCCTGTCATTTGGGGAAACAATAAAACTAGTCAAGGATAGGTCAGAATTGCATTCGGACATTCCTAGCAGACCTGAATGCAGCGGTCTGGTTACACAAGGAGTCGCCGTCTCCGCAGAAGCCTAGGAGGGCAGCAGGGCAGCGGTGCGTTCAGTGGGCATCCAAACTCTTCCAGCTGTCTTCACAGGCAATGCACAATCTGAAGTGGCTCCTGGAGTCCCAGCTGTCACATCCTGTCCCATCCACGGCACCATCAGCAGGAGGGAACAGGGGAGGTGGGATGGTGCTTCCTCTCTGGCTGACTGGCTTCTTCCAAGTCATCTTTCTGGAGGTCCCACAGGATGGGCTGCATAAACTCCCAGGTCAGATCCCAGCCCCATGGCCACACCCACCTGCACAGGAAGCTGGGCACACTGCCACCCTGAATAAAACTGGGGCTAGGCTGCCTGGCATGAATAGTTGCTGTGTGGCCACGGACGTCTCTGCACAACCATTATCTCATTCCTTCCAGCAAAATAAATCCAGATAACGTGTCGATGAATTATGAAAAAAAATAAAGACATAAGAGTAGCTAGGTTCGGGGTAATGAAAATGATGTGGGATCATATGGTGAGGATGGTTGCACAACCCCAGGAATATACTACACATCGACGACCCCTGTGCTTTAAGAGTGAATTTTATAGTATGTGAATCATATCTCAAGTAGATAAGGAAAAATACTGGGAAATATATTTAAAAGTCTTAGAGTAGGGAAGGTCTAAGTATGACACCAAAAAATTATGGGAAATTGCAAATTTTGATTACTTCAGAATTTAAATTTTCCACACAGAAAAAAAAATACAAAAACCAATGTGGACAAGTTAAAAAACAGCCAGGAAGAATACACACCTCAGAAAGACAAACATTTAATCCATAATACACAGAGTTTTTATAAAACAGTAAAGATATTATGAAATACCAGAAGAAAAATAGGCTAAGTATATTTAATGATAATTCCCCAAAAGTAGAAATACACATAGCTGATAAAAAATTAAGTTCCCCCAATAGTTATTAAAAATGCAAAGAAAAACAAATTATTTGCCTCTCAGGAAAAGACTGGCAAAATCCAGTGTTGGCAAGAGAAACACATCTTCACATGCTGTTGATGAGAGTATATACTGATAGGGTCTTTCTGGAAGTAGTTTGAAAATGTGCATTGTCTTTGATCCAAGACTTGGGTATCTAGTAAATAGTGGTCCCCGGTCGCCTGATGCAAGTCGCTGCTCCAAACCAGACCCCTCCAAGTAATTTATGGTAAGAAATATGTATTTGGTCTTTCTCCCCATTCCTGGCACAGAGCCAAAACCTGTGGCATTTCCTAAGTGGTAAGAAGATCAAGGTATCTTCTGATATCCATAAGAAGCCCCTTCCAACCACACCTGAACTTATGCTAATAGATTGTCTTTTGGAAAGCCCCTGATGATGGCCAGTGTAACCAACTACTTTTGGTCCCACCCTTCTGACCTCTGGGGAGTGGGGAAGGCCTGGAGGCTGAGCTAATCACTAAGGCCAATCCTTTAATCAATCATGTCTTTGTAGTGAAGCTTCCATAAACAAACAAACAAAAAATCCACCTAACTGAAGGGATTCAGAGAGCTTCCAGGTAGCGAGCACATGGAGGTGCCTGGAGGCTGGTGCCCCTGGAGGGGCACGGAAGCTCTGTGCACACCCCCATCCCCGGGTCCCGTGCATCTCCTCCCTCTGGTGTTCCTGAGGCGTACCCCCTCTGATAAACAGGTCATCTAGTAAGTAAACTGTGTCCCAGAGTTCTGTGAGCTGCTCTAGCACGTCCCTGAACCAGAGGGGGTGGTGGGAACCCCTGATTTATAGCTGCTTGGTCAAAGCACATGGGACAGCCTGGACTTGGGACTGGCATCTGAAGTGGGGGTGGGGAGCCAATGTTAGGGGACTGAGGGTCTGCACTGACTCCACGTAGATAGTGTCAGAATTAAATCAAACTCCAGGTCACTGATGTGGTATCCACAGACAACTGGGAGAACAGCCTGGTGTAGAAAAACCCCGCACACATTTGGTGGCTAAAAGTGAAGTACTGAGAGTACAGAAAAAAACAAGTTTTTCACCACTAATTTCTAAAGCAATAATAGAACAATGTGCTAAGATATATGTAAAAAGCTATTTGTGAGCACTTATAGCCATTCGATATAACATACCAGCTACACGGCATGACAGAAAAGCTATAGCACTCAAGACTAGAGCATGTCCTGGGTTCTCAGAGGCCACTGTTGGTCAGCAGTCTATCTTAGAGTAAGAGCTTTCCAAGAGAGAAGACACTGAAACATTCACCTGGGATTTTTAATAACTGATAAAACTTTCTTCCTCTGATTCATATTTAAGTCTCTACCTCCTCACATTCAGACACTAAAGATCCTTCTGCTCACATCGATCCTCAGAAATCATATACATCGGGTGCTGCTACCCTACTTTACATAACTTATACTTGTGAACTTGACTTCTCCAGTATGTTTAGGAAGAACAGAATACCAAAACACATTCAAGAATAACTGGGTTTGTCTGAATTTCCTATCTGATCACATTTGAACTTGAAAACACTTTTACCTAATTGAATTACACAGAGTAGGAAATTAAATAATTCTCTTCAAAACTAGGTCCCAGCTCTACTCCTCCAAGAAATACGGATCAACCACCTAGTTTTGAAATTTTATAATCCATTTTTAGAGTTTTAGCAATTTCTATTGATTTTAATTACATTTTTTGCAGTGCAACAAGTAATCTGCACAGATAATACTTTTGCTTCAGTAGTATTTGCAATAATGAATTTTACCTAATATTCAAAAGCCAAAAAAAGTTTGTGTTCGTTCATCCTTCAACTAGATCCCGGAAGTCACGTTTTTCAAACTAAAGTTGACCATTCATTAGTATTAGTGTGGTTTGTGTCTAGTATTCTAAAAAAGAGAACAGAAAATGCCAGCACGCATCACATACAGTAAAAGTAGGTACTACTTTGTTAAGTGTTTACATGTATAGAAGTGTGTGTGTGTGTGTGTGTGTGTGTGTGTGTGTTACAGTGTAAACAGTATTTCTTCCTGTGGTCAGAGAGCTGGAAAGCCACTGCTATAAAGGCTTCTGTCTGTCTAAGTCACCAGATGGCAATGCCATTTACTCTTCTGAGAGCTCTGGATTAAGCTGCCCAGACCACAAGTAGGCGTGGCTCAGTCCTTTTATGGAAAAAATTAGAAGAATCAAATATATCTAAGTAACTCAAACAATTAGACGACACACATGATTTCAATGGCTGATGCTACATTTTAGCTGCAAATGGTTCAAAGAAATTCATCTACCAATAACTCCACAACAAAAAGAGAGAGAAAACATTCACTTCTTCCTCAGTCTAACATCTCACCAGAACCATTACTGCCCTTTATAACACTGACATGGAAGTTACCTACATACACCCTAAAGTTTTAGCCACGATGGTATTTAAGATTTAAAGCCAAAACAAAAACACATTTGAATGCTTATAAACCAAAACATGAAATCACTTTTTGTAAAATTTTAATTTCTAAGACATTTAAAAAGTCACACTAAAAGTATCTCATAGAAACAAACAAACACAAAAAATAATCTGTAAACAAAACACTGTAAACAAAAGTAATATACCAGTGCATCTAAACATTATTTTAAAAGTAACATCATACCAGTTTTTTTAAAGTCAGTACTGAATATATGCTCGTATTTTTAAAAAATCATTTTAAGAACTCCGCCTTTATACATTAAATACTGTGCTAACAACAAAGAAAACTACATAGGGTTTTCAAGTGATGTAAGCCTACGCTCTAGCAGGTTAAGTGGTTATGGAGGCACAGAGAGGTCTACTGTGCTCCAGCAGAGCAAGGCCTAAGGACAGGTGTACACAGTCACGCCTTGAATACATCCAAGAGTCAAACCAAGCAGCAGATTTCATGCTCATCCACTAATCAGCCTCTCAGCGTGGCACTGAAGGAGCTGACCTGTATGTGCGTGAGTGTGCGTGTGCGTGCAATTCTCACATAAGTCTCTTCTTTTAGAGCAGGTCTATTTTTATCTAGAATATATATAAAGCTAAGTAAATACTAAATCTAAGAAATATCTTGGAAAAGCCGGTAAAAATTACAAATGTTATAACCTATAAAATTTATAATTTTAAAATAAGTATTGCAGAACCAATTAATATGAAGAATTGGCCAAATCTCCTCAAAAAACTTTTTAACTACAGTGTCTAATGCCCCTTTAAAGTTGATCCAAAGGTGAGAAAGAGCCAACAGAGCGTCTGACTTCACACAGTCACCTAGACCCCGCCCCCCAACGAGAACGGAATGGCCATCCCCGGGGCCGCTCTGACCGCGGGCACAGGGCGCTCTGGCATCAGGCCATCTGCGTCCTCCCTCGCTAGCACAGTAACTGCAACAAATCAAAGATCTGAGGGGCGCCTGTCCTTGCCAGACTTCAAGTGCTTGGCCTCAGTGTGGTGCCACCAGTTTCCGTCATGGCCTCATGCAGCCAGCCTCCAGTGTGTGTCCAATAGAAGCACATGCATTTACTAAGTCCCTCACTCAAGAGGAAGACTCTGTGTACGTAACCAGGAATATACTCTTTGTAGAACCCCGGAAGTAGCTGTAATCATGCAGCAGAGTATATAACTACCTGCATTTGTTCCCATAAAAGGCATCTGAGACCCAAGGTTCAAAACTGTCCCTCCATGTGAGGCGTATCCTCTGTCTCAAAAGCAATGAAGACGCACCCAGTAACAGCTGTAGGACTTTAGAATACATTTCACTGCTTACTAATCAAACCTGGCCTAAGTTTTCCAATGGAAAGAAACTTTCAAATGAACAAAGAATTGATACAGACATTGAAAAGTTTAATATTTTACTCAGAAATTTTCAGACATCTTACAAATACCCAAGAACTTCCTACGGATGTGCCCGGAAACCAGTGTAAGTTACAAGCGATGCTCTTTTATTTAAAGAACTTTCTTTTTCTTCTCCCCTTGACCTAGTCTGCTCAAAATATGGATTGCCTGCAAGCAAGTTTCAGTAAAAAATCAAAGTTTGCAATTAATGTTTAAATAGGTGTAATTACCAGTGAAATTAGGAAACAACCAGTTTCTATTAATTTTCTCAGTATGCAGATCCTATGCAGAGAAATTCACCAATACCAGACTGGTGGTATTTACGGAGTGTTGTTTAGAATCACAAAATGTTCTTTTATCTTAAAACTGGGCTGTATTTTAATGGGAAGAGAAGCTCAGAAGGAAATGCAGAGGTATAAATAAAGGAGAGGTATACTCAATGGAACTTAGGAATACACAGATAAACTTTTCTTATTATTTTGGCTCTAAGTGGAAATTTTTTATGTCAAATATATACAGCCTGATTTTCATAAATTTCTCCAAAAAAACCCCTTTAAGCTCAACAATTTGAGGAAAATGTTCTTTTACTTTTGTCTGAACACAGACAATCTGTTGCCATACACATAGTGCATGTGAACATATGTATTTATAGAGACTGCATAACTACCAAGTGTGTGCAAAGGGGCTCATCTCTTATTTCTGCATGCACAATTTTCAGTACTCTATCCTAGTGGATGGTAACACAAAGTACAGTTTTATAGCTTTTATTCAATGGACTTAAAGTCAAGAAGCCATCCCCAGAATTATTTACAATTTCATAACTGAATGATTTATCAGATCATGAAACACTGAAAAACTATTCTTACCTCATGAATGCTGACACTGTGTACCTGGGTGTTAAACTGGTACTTTTCTAAATCCGAGGTTTAAACCGGCATATACAAAAGTAACCAAGGCCTGAAGAATGTGTTGACAGAAGGGGTTTCTACCACAGAGCATTTGTAGTTCCATAATGGACACAGGAGCACAAGGAACTGAGGGAATTTTGGAAAAAAGCTTAAAAAAAATCAAGTGTACAGATAGCCTATAAGGCAAAATCTAAGTTACAAGTGTATTCGACACTGGCAACTATGTTATGAGAGGTAACACTGAATCCTACACACAGAAGAGGTCAGAGAAGTGTGAGTACATAAGACTTCCCATGTAGCTTACTACACTGTACAGTGGAAGGTATTCCCGTGGTGTTCTACCACGGATCAGGTTTTCAAAAGAATTTCATATTTTTCTCTTGACTCCAAGTCCAATCAGTATCATTCTGAAATATAAACCAGAACTATGCGCTTTTGTCTTTTTCTTCAAGGAAGTGAAAAATAGCATTTGCACACTACTGTTCCAACGCACCCACTGGAGTAATGGCATCTATAAACCCACATTTTTGCAGGGCCTTCACTTCACATCCAAGTACCAAGGATGCCTTTCACGTCAGCTTCTCCATTTTGAATAAAATATATATTGGGATTTAACTGAATTCTTAGAAAGCCCCGAAGTTGCCTTTTCTAACATTCTCATATGGGTGACTGTATCAAGTGCTGCAAGCAAATGTGTCCACAGAAAAATGTGCTGCCCTACGAAGCCTGCGTTTGGCTGGAAACTGTGGGGTCCATCACACAGTTAAATGAGAAGAAGGCCTGCAGCAGCCAAGTTCTTAGGAGGTTATGAAAGAAATGGCGCTGCCAGGCCCAGGCCCTAAATGTGAAGCCCAGTCAGTGCACGTCATTTCTGACTGACGGGGACGGCGGGAGTTGGGCCTCCCGGGTCTCTTGATGGCAGAGTGCTGCTGCGTATCTCACAGTGCTTTGTGATGCCCATTTGCTGACGGCTTTGATGTTTCTGAATCCCTTGAAGTATTTGATAAGTGAAGCTTATGAAGCCCTGCAGAAAAATTAAGAAAATGGTGAGAAATGATGGACTGTTGCATGGGTGGGCAGAGGGCTAAGGAGGCAGAGTGTCAAGTGTTACTGCGAAAGCTGTGATGTGCTGGCCAGACCCCCCTTAGCATGAAAGATCTCTTATCCCCACTGAGGCTCCCTGGGGGCCTAAGCAGAACACAGTTGTCTCTTAGGAAGCCATGCCTTCTCCTCAACTCCATGCAGCTCTGGGGCACGTGGAAGCTTCTGGTTTCTTCTCTCTGCACAGTTAGTCCCTTCCCCGCCTCCTGCCCTCCATACCAATCCCAAGATCACCCTCTCAACCACCTCCTCCTGCAAGCTTGTCCCAGCCCCAAAGTGTGCTTCCCAGCAGGGGAACTAACCTGAGACAAGTATGATCCCATTTTTGTATACACACATGCAAGTATACATACAGGAAGACATCCAGAAAGACACACCAAAATACTAAGCACATAATTAAGAGGAAAAGCAATGGAAAACATGACCAAATAGAAAAGGAGAAGAAATAGCAAAAGAATAAATTGAACATAAATATTTCATTATTCAAAGATACTTCACAGAATAAAAAATTTTCACTATCTTTTAAAGTTATGTTAGTTTCCCTCTGTATCATACATCAGTCATTTACATAATGCACCTGATATATACAACAATACTGTGCAACTCACAGGGATAACAGATAAAAGAAAATGTAAGAGTTTATGTGGCACCAAAGCTCTCAGCACTTAGTAGTAAGATGAAGCACAAAGATGTTCAAGAATACATAACCAGCACATCTATGGAAAAGATTTTGAGGAAACATTTTTATGAGGCTCAGACTTTTGTGACACATCAAAAACATACTTGGATAAGATTCTATTCCCCTAAGATTCCACAAGTTTATCCACCTGGCAGTTAAGCAATTTTATAACGCTCTTAAATCAACATAGCACTCTGAATTTTAAAGTTTCTACCACCTGCATATCTTAATGAAAGAAAAGGTAAAATTGAGTCCATCTATGATGGATGAATGGGAAGGAAAAAAGAAATCCAACACAAGCAACAGTTCTGGCCAAACCACTGAGTGACAATAGGAACCCACAGCTGTTGGGTGTGGGGAAGCGTGTTTTAAACAGGGCCTGCTAGTGAAGGAAGTAGGTGGAGAGAGAACCAGTGGGGTAATCAATGCCCAAAGTGAAAAGGAATCCCCTTTGAGGATAGATTATTTCCACGATTACTTCTAAAACTTGGGTGCAGCACAGGCTACGCATCTTTAAAAAAAAAAGAAACTACAATGTCTCTCTCTGCAGAAACAATCACCTCCACCACCATCTGGTTTTTATCTACTATGTACCAAATAATCTATGAGACAAATACTGTCATTATCAATGGACATAGCAGCAGAGGAAAAAAGACTACAAAACAAAGGGGGGGGGGGAGATGGTTAAATTTTATAATCAAATTATGATTCCCAGTGAAATCAGATTTAAGATCTCAGATCATTCACACATTATTACATATACTTAATGAGGATCTTTTTCTACATATAATGCATTTCTTCCTTAAAGCATTCCAAAGAGTAACAGAAAACATTTGGACAAAAAACCAAATCCATCTATTAGTTTTACACAAGTTCTGATAATTCTATTGCCTGTTATGGTCAAAGAGCCGATGCAACATACTTCACCGTAAGTCAGAAAGATGATATCCAGAATACTTAACTCAAAACTAAATTTACTGCAATTCATCTACAACCATCTCATGTTAGGGACTGGTAAGTGAGAACTGATCTGACATCATGGCTAACGAATCTCACTGATGCTACCATGGGCTTAAAAATGAAGTTCTAACTTTAGACATTTGGTTCAGAGAGCTGCTAATTCCCACCTCACCTTGCAGATTTTAACCTGGCCAGCATTCTGAAACCTAGGCATGAAAATCCATAAATTATCTGGTGCTTCAGCTGAAATGAGATGTCACTTTCATTTCCAAGCACTATTGCACCAGCCATCCCCTCACAGGGTGAATTTAATAAAATATGGATGAACAGATAATTTGAAATCTTTTTTCCTTCCCAAAGGTTATCCCTTCAATCACAGGTGTTGGAAGAACTTGGTGGCGTGCAAAGCTTTATTGTTGCTCAGAAGGTTGAAGTTATCTGGACCTTAATGAATCAATCATTATATAGCCTTTTGCAACAGCTAAAAGTCACAATGGAATACAGAGTATAAGCATTCAAATGATGTCAAGTTAGGTAAATGACCTAATGTTAGGATTTTCTACAATAAATCACTGCCAAATTTAAAATTACTCCAAACCCAAGAGGGTTTATATAGCAAGATAATTTATAAAGCCCTGGTATTCCTATAATATAAAATAAAACTTATAAAAATATAAAATAAAATAAAAACATATAAAATGTTTAGTGCTAATGTTGAAGTGGGCATGAAAAACTCATTCATAAGTTACATTTATACCCTTTTTTTACCTTAGCCAAACCTAAAGTTTTTAAGACTGTCACAATGCCTGGGACTTTTGGAATACATGATAATGAATGCCCTCTCTCATATTAAAGACAAGAATACTAATATTTTTATCCTGAGTTATTTGGCTTACTGAAGAGAATTATGGATCAGTCTGATACTTGTAAAATCCAAGTAATCAAAAGAAATCTGTAACTAAAAAATTGTAAGAGGTACCATTACCAAAAAATAATAAGTCTCTAGCCATTAGCCTCACCTTGCCTCGACCACCATCATCATAACAACAAAAAAGCTAATTTTATTGAGCTCTTATGATGTGCCAGGACTCTGCTCAGGCCCTTACAAGAAATATTCCAGTTAATATTCACAACAGTCCTTGAGAGAAGAAGATACTGTCACCATTTTACAGATAAGGAAGCTGAGGCTTAACAAGGTAATTTCACACACGAGCATAACCAGTAAGTAGTGGGTCAGAAATGGGACCTCTATGGTTTCACACAGTAGGAAAAATGAACAGATGAAGATTTAAAATTAATTCAAGTAACAAAATTAAAAATTAGCAGAAAGAGAAAAATACCCATAAACCTCAGGATTACCTAGGGCCTTGAAAAGTTCTTCTCGTACAGCAGAGGTGAATTTTCTGAACAGACACAATGTTGTCACAATAGCAAAAAGCAAATTGTAGGATAATACAATATAGAAATTTCCCAGCCAATTAAACCTTCCAAAGTCTCCAAGTAGATCAAATCTAGTGATTCCTGTTAAAAATAAATAAAATAACCCTTAATAAAATCAGGTACAATATATTTAAAACGTTACAAAATAAAGTACAAGTCAGATCAAATTCCATGGACTTTCTCATTTGTTAGTGGGGATCCTAGTTAGAATATGTAATTGTTACCTTGTGGAACAGCATCAGCCAGCCCTAACCTACTTTCTCCACATGTCACAGTGTCTTGGAAGTGATGAGGCTGGAGTGAATGTCCCTTGTCACTCACTCCACTTACACTGACAAGAAATCCACTCTGCAGCTCATGGAGAGAATGAGCACAGTGTACTCAACTGAAACAGGACGGAGAAGACACCTGACAGCCCTTTAAAGCGCCCACCTCCCCGCTGCCTGGTCCCTCTCCCCATGCAGGTCCCAGGTCAAACATCCCCTCCTTGGAAAGGGCAACTGTTTCCTCTACAGAAAACAGCTGGACCCTCCATGGCTATCTATCTTAATTACATTTCTTTGTAACATGTGCTACTTCATGTGTTTCTTTTCCTTTCTGGTTTATTTATTGCCTACTTTCCCCACCAGTATGTAAGTTCTATGAGAAAAGGGACTTTTTTTTTTCACTCCTACAATCCTAATGCCCAGAGCAATGCTTGTACATGCATAATAGTTACTACATAAACAGATAAACAACTAGGGTGATTCCTTTCTGGGTTGGCGGGTGGGGGGAGGTGGGAATAAAAACATTATTAATCTGAGTTGGACACCACAGGCTTGTGGAGTAAAATGGCAAACCAAGAAAGGCAGTTATCTCATATATACATTGAAGTTACTTAAATTTCCTATACACATTTTAAAAAAACAAGTCTTTTTATTCAAAAGAATAATCCAAAAGTCATCCTATTCAGTAATAATGTGCCCTAGGCCAAATACTTATAGGAAAGAATATGTGAATGTTAGGATTTTTCTGACCACTGGTAAATAAATAAGTAAACAGCATTCAGGTAGTTAGTCAACTGACAGATGATGGGACTGTTGACAATCTTCAAGGAAGAAACTGAAGAGTTACTTGGGGCCATATAAAATTTTAACCATAAAGGACTGTAAAAACAAAATCCTGTACACCTTCATTTTTTGAGTGGTCTAAGGATCTCAAGAGTAACCAAACTTCATTTCACTCTATCAGCTGACTTTTGAACTTAGCTCTCATCCCCACCCAAAGCAATCCCATCACCTGTTATAGGGACAGACGCCACAAAAGCAGTGCATAGACAACAGAAAAACCTTCATACCCAAAAGTATCACAAAAATAGGTTTCAAGACGTAGTTCTTTTTTTTTAATATTTTATTTGTCAGAGAGAGAGAGAGCATAAGCAGGGGGAGTGGCAGGCAGAGGAAGAAGCAGGCCCCCCGCTGCGCAAGAAGCCCAATGTCGGATTCAATCCCAGGACCCTGGGATCATGACATGAGCCGAAGGCAGACACTTAACCAACTGAGTCACCTAGGCGTCCTAAGAAGTAGTTCTTTTATGGCCACATTTACACAGGGCCAGTGTACTTGAACTTGAGAGACAATAATCTACCATAATATTTTAAAGAGAAGATTAATGAAAACATACAATAAAATATCTTTTTAAAGAAGGTAAAGGGACCCAGACCCCAGGAGAATATGCCACAAAGACCACATATCATGAGTCATGGCAATAATCATGGCTGCAGCTTCTCAGATAAAAGCCTTAATAAAACTTTACTTTGTCTGGGGCGCCTGGGTGGCTCAGTTGGTTAAGCATCTGCCTTTGGCTCAGGTCATGATCTCAGGGTCCTGGGATCGAGTCCCACGTCGGGCTCTCTGCTCAGTGGGGAGTCTGCCTCTCCCTTTTCCTCTGCCCCCCCCAACCTCGTGCTCTCTTGTGCTCTCTCTCAAATAAAATCTTCGAAAAAAAATCAACAAAAAACTTTACTTTGTCAAAAGGAATACAGATCTAATTATACATTTTATTCTTCAAACAAAGTACCATTTAATTTAACCTAGGAAGTCATCTGTAGACAGGAGACAGCCCTTCCAAAACAAATTTCAGTGATTTCAGCCCAAGGATCCCAGATAAGTAGTTTATTTGATCTTTAGGACCAAAGACTCCTTTGAGAATCTGGTGAGAGCCATTATCTTTTCACAAGAAAAACAAAGAGATGCGCACACTCACAAAATCTTGCATATGATGAAGCTGATTTATGGAAAAACTGACAGATCACAAAATAAAAACCCTTGTCCAGATGCTCCAGGAAAGTCTTACCTGGTCTCAAGACATTTTTAATCATACACCACCATTAGCAAAAACAAAATTAGAACACATATACCCAATATATGTGTATTTAATTATTTTAAAACTACATATGTACTACTCACTGGCTTTTACATTATATACAGACTTAAAAATAATAATAATAATGATAAAGGTAAACAGGAGTTCTCACGGTTTCTTCGCACAGTCCAGTGACCTACTCTATGAACGCTGCGGGGACAAACCACTTTGGACAGCAGTGAACATGCTAACTAGTAACTCAGCCGCCACCCTGAACCTGGCCTCTGAACCACACTGGGACAGCAGTGCCACACACTGAGCACAGTGAGGAGCAGAGTGCGCTTAGCACAGGGATATGGAAGGTAGGTTATGAACAATGGGAAGTGCTTTCACTAGGACTTCTTGGTGGATTCAACTTGGTATCCTGAGAGTCAGGGCCAGGACTTCATATGAAACCCCAGACAGAGAGCAGTCTCCTCATTATATGTTTGGTCCCCAGGACATCTCAGGTTGACCTCAAAGACAGAAATCCAGGAGCCTGTTGCTACAGTGCACCAAAGCACTAGACAAAGTATTAGATTAGTTCTAAAGATGCTGTTGTTTCAAATTTAATTTAAATATCTAACATTGTCTGATTAAAAGATCACTCTGGACAACACATGCAGCTCTTCAATTCTGAAAATCTTCTATAAGACTAAACAGCAAGAAACTTTAAACAATCACTTTCTTAAACTTCTATCTGAGAGGTCTGTCACAGCAATAATTAAACTGTAAAATGTACTTTTTTGTTAAAAGCACCAACACTTGGGCGCCTGGGTGGCTCAGTTGGTTAAGCGACTGCCTTCGGCTCAGGTCATGATCCTGGAGTCCCGGGATCGAGTCCCGCATCGGGCTCTCTGCTCGGCAGGGAGTCTGCT